ACGGAAGTAAGAGAATCATAAGAGAGTGGAAGTGACCCCAAGCTGCCAGGACTTCGTGAAAGGGTCTGTTGTATTCTGGTGACGGCTTCCTGTGTTCTCACCTCCACTGTCCCGCTACTGCCTCCATTTCTGACCCTCCCTACCCAAATTCTGACCTTCTGCCATGCTGCAGCTCAAATACATCCTATCCAGGGGGATAAAGTCCTCACTGATGTATGTGCTTTGATTTGGGGGGAGCATTCACTGTTTGTGCCAGCCCCCTTAACCCTCAATTCAAATTCATTATTTCCCGAGTGCTTTCACAGCCAGGTTGTAATTCCCTAGGGTAGGAGCATGGCCACCTCCACCTGTCCTCATCAATCTTGCTACGTGATGAGCACACACCTGAGGAGGGAGACAGTGACTTCCACGTCATTCCATGTTTGGCCAGTAGGCTGCGCTCCAGAGAGAGGATGCTGGGCATGGCCAGCTGTGGGAGGCAGAAGCACCTGGCCTCAGTTTGGATGGAAGTACTGTGCCCCCAGGCTATTCATGTGCTCTGGAAACTCCCAATCCAAGAAACTAACAAAACTGGGTTCCAGGCCAGTGGTCCAAGCCACAACTGGGAAAAGGTCTTTACAATGCACACACACCACAAAGGAATAGGTAACAGGTTAACATAAACACAAAACAAAGGAACAGATAACAGGTTAACAGACACACACACATCAGGAAAAACTCAGAAAAAATGGGCAAAGGATACAAACAAGCAGTTTACAGCAGAGCACACCCAAAGGGACAAGGCACATATGGACAGATGCCGAGCAGCTGGACACAAATCCACCGTGGGTGCATCTGCAGGTCCTTAGGGCCCCCTGGAAAGCTCTGCTGCATCATTGGAGTTGAGGTCAGCTCAGGCTTCACTCAGCAATTTCATACAAAGGTGTGGATTCCAAAGGGGGCAGGCTTGGCCCGCAGGGGCATTTGGAAATTTGAGAGTGTTTCCATGCGTCAAAATGATGGAGGAGGGGCAGGCCTTTTGTGGGCAGGGCCCAGGGGCACTTGGTATCCTGCAACGTGCAATGAGGAACTGTCCCACGATGTCACCCATTAACACACAGTATTCTTTGACTGGTTCTAATATACACTGAATTTTCCTAGTATGCAATTTACTAGCTAAATAGTTGGAAGATTTTACTTAGTTTTCTGAGCAACTTTACCAAGAGTTATTCATTCGCCATTTCAGAAACTGGGGTCGCTAACAACAAAATAACAAATTTCAGAAGGATATATACATACAATGTTGCCACGCCATAAAAATATATATTTTTCCAGATACACAAATAGACATTAAAGATATGAAAACATGCAAAGAAATAATAAACACAAAAATCAGGATAGTGGGCATTTCTAGAGAGAGAAGTCTTCCAATGACTTCTTTCTTTAAAGAAAAAATCAACCTGACATGAACATGGCACATGTTAAGATTTGACAAACTTGGGTAATGGATGTGATTGTTCCTTTTATTATTCTCTAAACTTCTCTATGCTCTAAATTACTCAAAAAGGGGAGAAACTTGACAAAAACAAGAGTTGGGAGGATGGAGGCAGACAGGTGGGCACTGAATCAGCCCATGCTCGGCAACTCTCCAACACTGCACTGAGCAGCTACTGGCAGCTGAGGGTTGCACATCATTGAGATTTTCTCAGCCCTGATCCTTCTTCCACTGTCACCACATTTACTCTGAGCCCAGTCCCCTAGCATTTTGTCCCCAACTAGCAGTCATATATGGCTTAGGATCTCCCCTATTTCAAGGTACATTTTAACAGTGCGCTATTGAAGATGACTCACTCAAAGAAATGACTCTCTAATGGTGAGGTTTTGCTAGCCTTGCACTGGCATATGTGTGTAGCTATTGGGGGCAGGGGTTCTTCCTGGGCACAAATACATCATATGAATCTTGGTGTACCTGAACTCCTTATAATGAAAATCCTGGGTGAGAATTGAGATGTTGCATTGGGAATGGGAATGGAGGTTAAAGTGGCAGAAATCTTATGCACCTGTTCATTTTTTCCTTTTTTTTTTGTGAGGAAGATCAGCCCTGAGCTAACATCCATGTTAATCCTCCTCTTTTTGCTGAGGAAGACCGGCTCTGAGCTAACATCTATTGCCAATCCTCCTCCTTTTTTTCCCCAAAGCCCCAGTAGATAGTTGTATGTCATAGTTGCACATCCTTCTAGTTGCTGTATGTGGGACGCGGCCTCAGCATGGCCAGAGAAGCGGTGCGTTGGTGCACACCCGGGATCCGAACCCGGGCCGCCAGTAGTGGAGTGCATGCACTTAACTGCTAAGCCACAGGGCCGGCCCTGCACCTGTTCATTTTTACTGATTCTTTTAGTGAGGCTTGTGGCTGGTCATTTTTCATGTATACTTTGTAGAAAACACCCCAAATCACTGCTTCAGGACTTTTTTGTGTGTGTGTGAGGAAGATTGGCCCTGAGCTAACATCTGTGCCAGTCTTCCTCTATTTTGCATGTGGGTTGCTGCCACAGCATGGCTTGATGAGTGGTGTAGGTCCACGCCCAGGATCTGAACCTATGAACCCTGGGCTGCTGTAGCAGAGCGTGTGAACTTAACCACTACGCCTCCAGGCCAGCCCCCACTGCTTCTGTTTTGAATTCTGCCCACATCACCTGTGTACATTGTCTGTGGGGTCTGGCCCTGGTGCTGTAAAGGCAAATACAAATTAAAAATAAGATGCTCCTAAAACCACAATGAGATACCACTGCACACCTATTAGAATGGCAAAAATCCAAAACACTGACAACACCAAATGCTGGCGAGGATGTGGAGCAACAGGAACTCTCATTCATTGCTGGTGGGAATGCAAAATGGTACAGCCACTCTGGAAGACAGTCTGGGGATTTCTTACAAAACTAGATACACTTTTACCATATGATCCAGAATATCTCTTTGGTATTTACCCAAAGGAGTTGAAAACTTATGTCCACACAAAAACCTGCACGTGGATGCGTATAGCAGCTTTACTCATAATTGTCAAAACTTGGAAGCAACCAAGATGTCCTCAGTCAGTGGATGGATAAATAAACTGTGGTACACCCAGACAATGGCATATAATTCAGCACTAAAAAGAAATGAGCTATCACGCCATGAAAAGACATGGAGGAAATCTAAATGTATATTAATAAGTGAAAGAAGCCGATTTGAAAAGGCCACATACTGTATGATTCCAACTATATGACATTCTGGAAAAGGCAAAACTTTGGGGCCATAAAAAGATCAGTGGCTGCCAGGGACTAGGGGGAGGGAGGGATGAATGGGCAGAGCACAATGGATTTTTAGGGCAGAGAAACTACTCTGTATGATACTGATAATGATAGATACATGTCATTATACATTTGCCGAAAACCCATAAAAGTATGGCACCCAGAGTGAGCCCTAATGTAAACCATGGACTCCAGGTGATAATAATGTGTCAATGTTGATTCATCAATTGTAACAAGTGTACCACGCTAGTGGGGGACATTGATGGTGGGCGGGGCAGGGCAGGGCATATATGGGAACTTTCTGTACTTTTAGTTCAATTTTGCTATAAACCTAAAACTGCTCTAGAAAGTAAAGTCTACATTGAAAAAAAAAAAAAAAGAGAGAGGCTTAATTTTCCAATTAAGGGGAAAGGGGAAGAGGGCCGGCCCCATGGCTTAGCGGTTAAGTGCGTGTGCTCTGCTGCTGGCGGCCCGGGTTCGGACCCCGGGCGCGCACCAACACACTGCTTCTCTGGCCATGCTGAGGCCACGTCCCATGTACAGCAACTAGAAGGATGTGCAGCTATGACATACAACTATCTACTGGGGCTTTGGGGGAAAATAAATAAATAAAATTATTTTAAAAAAAAATGAAAATAAGGGAAGAGGCTTCTCCCTCTCCTTTTTCTTCCAGAATTTCTTTCTCTGTCCTTTTCACATGTGTGTACATCTTTTTCATGGTTAAATAAGCCTCTTGCCAATCTAGCAGCTCGGAATGTTTCCTCCAGGAGCTGGGAGCCAGCTCTTTGAAACATAATCATCCAAGATAATGCCCTGTCTCCCAGGTTCCTGGGAGGAGAGGGGCTTCACTTCAGCTGTCACCTTACTCTGAATTGCAGAGCCTATCTTTGGGCAGAAAGATATGAGGAAATTAGCCATTTTATCTTGAGAACACGTACATAATAAGCTGCCTGACTGTATAGAAGGCTGAGGTTTCTTTGTCTCTGCATCTCTTGAGCCGACTGCCTGTGATGCATGGCATTCTGGTGTAATGCCTAGTCAACGACACAATGGTATTCTCTCCCTTCTACCTTTGTGGACAGGCTCTCTGGCTTGGGAGATTTTGTTTTATATTTCCCCAGCTGGGCTGGTGTCCAGAGGCAAACGTTGGAATGTGCTGTTTGGCCAGTGTGGATGCCTGTGCAGCAACAGCCAGGCCAGCCCCCTGGGGGGTCCTTGGGTGCAAGGGTGCCATGCAGGTTGCAGTGTATGCCCTCCTCCTTGGACAGCCTCCCAGAGCAGAGGCAAGGTCACCCCTGTGCCCCAAGAACTGCATGACCTCCTTTTCCTGGGCCTGAAGTGTTCCGTTTGTGAGGTGGTAATAAAAATATACTTTGCTGAGAGTAGAGAAGCAGCTCAGACCACCCTCCACCCCCCTCCTCCCCATCCACCAGGACCCACTGGCCCCTCCTCCTCACTGGCCCCCTCCTCCGTGAAGACCCCTGGGGCACCCCTGCTCAGAGCAGAGGAGCACTCTCTCCTTTGATCTCAGAGCTGGCCCCCAGCCCAGCTAACCACTCGTGTACACATCTCATCTCCCCAGCAATCTGGGTCTGCACATCTTGTGGGCTCAATGTTGACTCAGTTCACTCCACAAACAATCTCTGAGCCTCTGTTATGTGCCAAGAATTTCTGTGCCCTCAGAAAGTCTCACGCCGCAGTGGGGCTGCATGTTTCTGTAAACCCGTCCTTGTCATCCAGGGTGGTCTGGGTGCAGAACACTGTGGCCCACCAGCTCAGGCAGGTCGGGTCAGGGTAGGTGACACAGAAAGGGATCAAGGGTGAGCATTGACGGGGAAGGGGGACACATGGTCATTCCTCACAGCAAGACTGCAGGAGCAGAGGCAGAAGGTGAGGACCACCACCTGGCCTAGAGACGTGAGGGGCGGGCCAGCGGTTGGGTGTTATTAGAGCAGAAAGTTTAAGGTGGGGCTGGGAGCTAAGACCAGGGCTGCAGGCAGGAGAGTGGTCAACGGCTGTCGTTTTTGTCCCCCGGGTGCATGGCTCCATCCTTGGTCCAGAAAAAGACCTCGGTAACAGTGTGAGTCTGCGTAACCAGGTGAGTGGACGGGGAGGTCAGGGAAGGGGGAAGGCGGGAGGCTGAGGGGCGCACCGCGGGAGAAGGGGAGGACTAGAGACCCCCCAGGGCAGAGGGGAGTGAGTGGGGCCGTGTGTGTGTGTGTGTGTGTGTGTGTGTGTGTGTGTGTGTGAGTGAAAAGACCGTGGGCAGGGGCGGGGTGCACGGCAGGGCTCCCGGCGCCCCGGGATGCCTGACAGCACTACCGCCGGCCCAGCATATCCTTTGTCCAGGGCGGCGCTGACCCAGCAGGGCGCCGCCCGCTATATCTGGCCCCCCCGGGCCTCGCCAGGAGGGGCGCACCATGGTGCAGCGCTCGGGGCAGGTGAGTGCGGCTCTCTCCTGGCCAGCCCCCAGGTAATCGCCTGGGCCCTGGGGCGAGGTCCCGAGGCAGCCCCCCTCTCATTGCTCTTTGTACTCGGGATTGGGGTGGGCAAACTTGCTTGGCACCCTTCGCCCTTTGCGTTTGACCAACTGGAGCAAAGCCAGCTAAATTCCGTTAACCAAATGGGGCAGCCTGGCCCTGGCGGAGAGCCTCTCTGGCCTCCCTCTCCCACCCCCTAGCATTGGCTCTGGGACACCAACCAGGCCCCTCAAGTCCAGAGCTGGGAGGGTGGTCAGACCTGAGGGGGTCCTTGGTTGGGGTGGGGGAGCCTTGGCTTGTCCTGCAGCCCGGGGCCCCGCTGCTGTCTCTTCTTTGCCTGAGGCTGGTCTAAAGGGGGCTTCTCCTTCCTCAGGATCTCCTCAGGGGCACTCTGGGCTGGTTCTCTGCAAAATGTTGAGATTTGAGGGACCTTCAAATCCTGTGGGTGACCAGTTCTCCCTGAATATCTCCTGGGGGGAGGGGAGGCTCCTGACCAGACCTGTCTTGTGCAGGGAGGGTGGCAAATTTGGATCTCTCTCCCCTTCTCTCTCTGCCTCTCCCAGCTAATCTGATACAGTCCTTGGTCTCCAGGGGCTACATTCAAGGTTAGTGGGTCGGAGCATTACTGGATCAGTCTGCATTGGCTAGGTTGTGCTTCAGTAACAATCAACCCCAAGGGCTCACATCCATCGTGGTCCGCACAGCCTCCTCTGTGCCCCAGAGGGACACCTTGGTAACAGCAGAGGGAAGGGAGAGCCAGGAAGTCGTGCCTGGCTCTCAAAGCTTCTACTCTGAGGGGCCTAGAGGGCAGTTCTGCCATCAGTGACAGCACAAATGACAACGACAGTTACCAGGCCCCAGGCAACATTATTTGTGCTTAGCCAGGGCACTTCTAGGAGCACAATTCTTGAAACCCAACGAGTTATTGAATGGTTGGAATTGTAGGTTCCACAGCAGAAAGTGAGTTTTGAGGTTGATATGGTTTGGGGACAAGGAGAACCTGTCAGTGCTACATTGCCATAGGACACAGTGTCTGAACTGACCGCTGGGTTGGTAAATTTCCACATCTGACACACGCCCGTCACCCAAAGGAGTGGCCTAATAAACAAGGGGACGGGTTACATTGAAAAAGCACTCTTTTGAGCCATTAATCCCGCGCCAGACCCTGACTTGTCTCCAGTGGATTCAGTCTCTTGAGTTAAGGGGCCTGATCCCAGGAACCTGACTTTCTGAAAACTAAATGTTCGGTTATGATGGCGGGGTTGTGGGTGAAATGTTTTCTCCTGAAAACATTTCCTTGGATGTTATGTTTTAACATTAAACAAAAATTGAGTTTAAAAAATGCAGTGGGAGTTTGAAAAGAGCCTGTTTTCAAATGGGCCCCCTGGGGCAGGCCGTGTGGCTTAGTGGTTGAGTTTGGCACGCTCCTGCTTCAGCTGCCTGGGGTCGGATCCCAGGTGTGGACCTACACACCACTCATCAAGCCATGCTGTGGCGGCATCCCACATACAAAATGGAGGAAGATGGGCACAGATGTTAGCTCAGGGCCAATCTTCCTCAAGCAAAAAGAGGAAGATTGGCAACAGATGTTAGCTAAGGGCCAATCTTCCTCACCAAAAAAAAAAGGGGGGGGGCCCTGGATGAGGGGAAATCCCTGTCCCCAGCTATCTTCTGAAATGTGCTCAACCCCCAGCCCCCTGGGGTTAGGAGGGCGGGGCACTGGATCTGACCTCAGCCCGACAGCCCTGCATTCTTTCACCCAGTCAACAAACAGTGTTAGGCACCTACTGTGCGCAGCAGGTCTGGGCTTCAGTGGCCTGTGAGTTGGGGTTCAGTGGAGGGTGTTGGGCCCTAGGATTCCCTTCCCAAAACTGAAGGAGAGAAGCCCCTGACCCCACACCCTCTAACCCGCCTTTCTAGATCACTCTCTATGAGGGCAAGCACTTCACGGGGCAGAAGCTGGAGGTCTTTGGGGACTGTGACAACTTCCAGGACCGAGGATTTATGAACCGGGTGAACTCCATCCACGTAGAGAGTGGAGCCTGGGTCTGCTTCGACCACCCTGACTTCCAGGGCCAGCAGTTCATCCTGGAGCACGGCGACTACCCTGACTTCTTCCGCTGGAACGGCCACAATGACCACATGGGCTCCTGTCGGCCTGCGGGCATGGTGAGTGGGCCACGCCACCTGGGGGCTTTCTGCTGGAGTGACCGAGGATCAGTCCTGGTCAGACAAGGGACAAGTAATCAGGGAGCCTGGCCCTCCCAGCTGTAAGATCTGACGAGGCCGTGGGATCTTTAAGACAGAGAGATGTCCCCACACAGACCCAGCCACTCCCGTGTGTGTGGGATGGTGTGCGGACCTTCTTGCTGAATTTTCCATTTAAAACGCTGTTGGAAATATTAGAAGTTTGGATGTGCAACCGGTTGGGGGAGCATTTAGCGAAAGAAAGGCTGATTTGGGCCTGGTGTATCCACCGTGCTGCTCATCTTGTAGTGCTTTTCAGACTTTGATACTCTGATCGGGGAATGTCTGATGGAGGAAGCTTAGGTCACCGGCCAGTCCTCGGGAATTTGGGGGCAGGTCCCTTGGAGCTACACAGGTGGCTGCCATCTCACAGCATAGCCCAGTGTGTGTAGGGAGAGCAAATGAGGGGTGTCACCACCCATGGCGAAGGACTGTGTTTGTCTAGTTGCCCTGCAGTGGGATTTGAGGGCTGGGCATTCCCACTACTTAGGATTCTCTCAAGTCACAAGCCCTGTCTGACCTGCTGTGAGTTCTGGATGGCCAGGTGGGAAACGGCTGATTCCTGAACCAGTGAGCAGCTCCCATCAGAGAATCTCAGCCGGGGTCTGCAAAAGGACCCTCTCCCGCCCCTCCCCCTGGACGTGGGGGCCAGGGGGTGCTGGTGAACATCTGAGGAACCCCAGGGGAGGGGCCTCTTGTGTTTGTGGGGCCCCCTGTCTTTTCTACATGGGTTGCAAGACCAGCTGGACTTTGGCATCTGAGATTGTAAGAATACTTTTGTAGTATTTTCACCAGGCCATGGACATTTGGAAAAAGGAATTAACATGAGGGGCCAGCCCAGTGGCGCAAGTGGTTAAGTGCACGCGCTCCGCTGCCGCAGCCCAGGGTTCTCTGCTTCGGATCCCTGAGCGCACCGACGCACCGCTTGTCAAGCCATGCTGTGGTGGCGTCCCATATAAAGTGGAGGAAGATGGGCACGGATGTTAGCCCAGGGCCAGTCTTCCTCAGCAAAAAGAGGAGGATTGGCAGATGTTAGCACAGGGCTGATCTGCCTCAAAAAAAAAAAAAGGAATTACATGGCCCCAGATCTTGCAAAATGCTATTTATATGAGGAATATCCTAGGTATCTTTCAAATGCTGCTCTCAGAAGAGCTATCCTGGGGCAGCTATGTCGTGGACCTAACCCCCACTGGCGCCAGAGCCCGTCGGGAGCTGGCCCTACTCTGTCTTGGAAACACGGGGAGTCTTATAGGGAGATGCATGTCCTTATCCCAGTGAGCCAGCAGGGATTTCACCAAACGAGAGCTCTGTTGTTTTAGATTTTTGGCTTCATGTTTTAATAAAAGGTTCTATTACAGTTTATAAAATATTATTGTTTGAAGTCTTGCCCATGGACTGTGGCCCAGGGCAGGAGCGGGGGCAGTGAAGGGCAGAGGAACGTGCTGGTGTGGCTGGGTAGGGGTCCAGGAGGGAGCCCAGTGACCCAGGGCTGGCCCTGGTCAGAGCGCAGCCGCTGTCCCCCGGGCAGTCTGGCCCTCTCTGACCCTTGGATTCTTTAGCTGAAGAAAGAGGAGATTGGACCAGTTCAGGGGCTCTGGAGCTTTTTAAAGTAATAGAACCCTTTTATCCAACCAAGTCTCATGTGCAAGACCAAGCAGAAGTGCTGGCTCAAGGTGCTCGTGTCGGGGTGGGAGGCGCTCGTGGGCCCCCCAGCCCAGGAACTCCTGGGTGCCCAGAGCCCTGGGTGATTCCTGCCCACACGGGCTTCTGTTTTCGGGGAGGGAAACAGCGCTGTTTGCCTTCCTTCCTTCCTCCACTTGTGTGGGGCCTGCAGCACGGGGAGCATTTCTGCCTAGAAGTCTTCGAGGGCTGCAACTTCACGGGCCCGTGCCTGGAGTTCCAGGATGACTGCCCCTTCCTTCAGAGTCGGGGCTGGGCCAAGAGCTGCGTCAACGCCATCAAGGTGTACGGGGACGGAGCGTGAGTAGCAGCCCCGCTGGGCCCCGCACGGCCAGGTATGGGGAGGCTGTTGGGGTGGGTCAGACCCCAGCAGCTGGGCAGCGTGTCCCCTGCCCCAGAAGCCCTTCCCCTCCCTCAGGTGCCTCCTCTGCCCCAATCAAGCAGTGGGGTGGCTTCCTCCATGGCCCAGGAAGGCCAGGGTGAGGGGACGCGGGGCCCCTGAGGCAGCCCTGAAGGAGATGCCCTCCATGGCCAGAGCGGAGGTGGAGGACACTGTGCCGACTAGCGGCTCTCTGTGACTGGGCTGAGCTCACAGACTGCACTCGGTCTTCTTGAGCTGGGGAAGCCTGCTCCGAGAAGGGTGGCTCTGCCCACCCTGCGCACCCCTTACTTGCCCAGCAAAGCGGAACCCTGAACTGGACCTTTCCTGCCAAGTGGGCAAACTCCCGCCATGCTGGCCTCCCGGGGGGATGGGCATCAGGGCAGCTCACTTCTGGTGGACGGACAGTGGTGAGCGGGTTTTGCCTGGGCCAGAGGGGCTTGTCTGCACGGCTCCAAGAGAGCCGTCAGGCCTGTGCTTGCCTGTGCTTCTGTTGGCTCTTGCACACTGGGTTCCTTCCATTAGTAAGGGCAGTCTCTACGCCCATCGTGCACGCCCCCATTGTGCAAAGCTTCACAGCCCCTGCACCCACTCAAGTTGGCCATCTCTTCTTCCTCCCATCCAACCCATCTGGGTGGATAGTGTTGCTCCATTTTACAGAGGAGCAAGCTGAGGCTCAGAAAGTTACCTCCGCCGGCTTGTGAGTGGCAGAGCTGGGACTGCAGCCAGGCCTTTGGCTTCAAGTCAGACTGTTGTCCCTGATCTAGAGCCTCCCCAGACCTCAGCCCCATCCCCCCAGGAGGAGGGCTCCCACGTGGGTTCCAAGAGCCTGGCTCCTGTCGCAGCAGCTAAGGGATCCATTTGCTGTCTGTGTGCCTGAGGTACGGGATCCAGGAGTGTTACAACGGGTGCGAGTGAGTGGTCGTGGGAGGGACTGAATGAAGACGGTGGCTGAGCCAGAGGAAGAACTGTACCCCCACCTTCCCCCGGGCAGCCTGAGGTTGCCTGCTGTGCCCAGGCCCCCCAACCCAGGAGTCTCTTCCTTTCCAGAGTCCCAGAGGGACTCTGCTCTCTTCCTGCTATATCTCTGTCCCTCTGGTTCTCTCCAGGATTCTTTTTCTCACGTCTGCTGTGCTCTGCCTTTCTGAAATGCCATGTTTGCCCTAATGTGATGGCATCTGGGAATCTGGGGGTAGAATTCCAAAACAACAATTTACCTGGAAAACCACTGGCTAGATTGTGTCTCAGGAGGCCAAAGTCATACCTTTGCATGGAAAGTGTCCTGAGACCCTCGACACAATCCCCCAACACCCACCCTGGGGAGACTCCGGGGCTTGTTCAGAAACAAGGTGGAAGGTAGAAACTAAGAGTTTTGACTGTATGGTGTGCACTTTACCTACAAGGATACAGAGGTCAGAGGGGTGAGGAGTCTGCTGGAGGCTGCACGTGGTGGACCCCACATTTGGACCTGGGGCTCTGCTCAACTCCCCATGGAGCCCTCATCTTTTGCCTCCTGCGACTTTAACTTGTAAAAAAAAAAATTTAAGCCTTTGGCCAGGAGAAGCTGCAGGATGGATCACCTGGTCTGGACAGGACCTGCTTCGAGGACTTTCCTGGGGTTGGAGCGGGGCAGGGAGGCGCAAGGCAGGTCTCCCCACCACATCCCAGGTGCCAGGAGTCATTTTCCTCTGGGGCCCGTGTCAGCTCAGGAATGACCTCTCCCCACAGATCTGTGTCCTGGGGGGACTTGGAGGGAAATGTGCCAGCATCGTGCTCCTCCCTCCTGCCCTCCCCCAAGGGCACGGTCCTCGTGCTGATGTAGACCAGCCATGCCCCTTCCTCCCTTCCTCTTCTTCCTTTTGGGGACACCCATGCATGTTCTGGGGTGGCCCATGACACTACTTGGGGGTATTTCCCAGCTCTGTGAGATAGGGAGGAATGAGCCCATTCCCTCAGAGGTGCCTCAGGCCTCACTGCAGCTGTGGGCATGGGGCATGGGAGTGGGGAGAGGGGTCAGGAGCAAGGGTGTGCTGTGGGCATGAGGAGGCTGTGGGCATGGGGGGCAGGTGGGGAGCACAGCGGGGAGTCATGGACATGGGGAGGCGGGGGCGTTCTGTGGGCATGGGGGGCAGGTGGGGAGCACAGCGGGGAGTCATGGACATGGGGAGGCGGGGGCGTTCTGTGGGCATGGGGAGAGGCACTGTGGGTGTGGGGGGGCCAGGCTGGACCAGGCCTGCCCTGAGCTCCGGGCAGGTGCTCCCTGCTCCTTCACACACTCGGCCTCTCTCTCTCCATGCTTGAGCCCTGACCCTCACACATTCTGCCACACACCAGATGCAGTGTCAGGATGGGGAGGAGAGGACCCACAGTGGCAGGAGAGGGGAGAGTGGGGCAAGCTGCCCTGAGCTGCTGGATGCAGTGGGCTGTGTGCCTTTGGGCAGTCACTCTCCTTCTCTGGGCCTCGGGCTGGGTGGGCTCACAAATTGAGTCTATGTCCCATGGAGAAAAAGCTCCTTCAACAGCAGAGTGCCTTGGGGTCAGTGGGCAAGAACTGGTAGGGAAAAGTGGGGGTTCACTGCAAAGACAGGGTCAGAGCACCACCCCGCCTGGGCCAGAGGGACCCCATGACCAGATCTGGGTGTGTGGGCCCTTGGAGGCCCAGAGACTGAGCCCCGCTTTGCTTCCCAAGGCCAGCAGCCCCCTCCATGACTGAGAGAGAAAGCTGTTTTCCATCAGTGGTGAAAGTGAGAGAGAGGTCAGCAGTGAGGTGGCGAGGCCGGCCCTTGACCAGCAGTGGGGGTGGACAAGTTGGATTTGAGTCCCACTCTGGAGGGGCCAGCCCACATGCCTCTGGCCCTCACACTTCTAGCCCCTCAGCACAGGCTCTAGACCCTGCCTCCAGTGGGCAGTGGGTCCCCCTGGACCTTTTTCTGGTCCCTCCTCAGAGCTCCATGCTTGTCTCAGGGACGGTGGAAGGACAGAGTTGGGACAGCCACGCTCCCCAGCTGTCTGGAGGCCTCTCCCTGGACCACACCCCCTCCCCAGGTAGAGGCAACTCTCTCGGTCCCCCTTATCCTCCCCACTGCCCCTTCTAGAGAGAAACTTTCCTGATTGCCTGGGTGCCCTTCACCTGCAGCCCACGGGTGATGAAGGGCGGGGGCGTGTTCTCTCCACCCAGACCCAGGGCCAGGGCTCAGCCCCCCAAGGTGCTTGATAGACTAGTCTGGGTCCTTGTCTGCTATTTTTGCTCTCCGGGTTGTTAGCAGCTGCCCAGGAGCTGGGAGCTGTGGAAGCTGCAGCCCAGACTGCAGTGGGGAGGGAGGAAGGGCCCCCATTGGGACCAGAAGCTCCTCCTCCACGCAGCTGCCTCCCCACGCCCATTTCCCACTGGAGTGGAAGCCCCACGGGGGCAGGAACCTGGGCAGGGGACTTACTTTGGAATCTCCAGGCCTAAAACATGAACTCGAGAGCATGCGCTGAATGAATGACTAGTAATTGGTCCCCATTCTGTGCCGGCACCTGATGCTGTCTATGCAAACAGTCCTTTCCAGGAGCAGGAAGGAGTGGCATGGGGGGCAGGGGGGATGAGGGTGGTCATGCATCCTGGAATCATGCCTGGCCCTTGTGATGAATATTTTGGACTGGTCAGTTTAAAACATCGACTTTTACTGTGCCCCTCTGGGCCCCAGCACTGAACCCAACACACGGGGCAATGAAAAGAGGGCAGGCAGAGGGAGAGGAAATAAGCCAAGAACAGGGCTGGGTGCCACGGGTGTTCCCGAGAGTGAAGGGGCTCTGCGGGGCGGGAGGGGTTCGGGCTGGCGAGCTGGCGTGCGGCGGGGGTGGGGGGTGGTGGTTCTTCTCTCCCAGCGGGGAAGGAAGGGGATGCGGGGCCTGCGGGTGGGCCGCGTGGCTCAGCACCCGCTCACCTGACCCGCCCCGCACTCCGGCCCTAGGTGGGTCCTGTACGAGGAGCCCAACTACCGCGGCCGCATGTACCTGGTGGAGCGCGGTGACTTCCGCAGCTTCTCTGACTGGGAGGCCCCCAGCGCGCGTGTCCAGTCCCTCCGCAGGGTGGTCAACTTCTTTTAGCCGGGCCGCCCGGGTCTGGCCAGGACAGTCCCTTCCCGGCCCACCTGGGACTGGGGACCGTGGGGAATAAGTCATAAAAGCAGAGAGCTGAGCGGGCCTGAGTGATTTCCCTGCCGCTTCCTGACGGCTAGACAGCCGGGTGGGGGCGCCCCAGGCCCTGGGCAGGAGGCTGGCAGGACTCCCCAGGGCAGAGCCGAGGGGACCGGGAAGGGTGGAGAGCACTGTGAGGCACCCACTGGGGCAACATTAGGGCTGGAAGGGACCTATAGGTCATGGAGTCCAAACCTTTCATTTTACACATGACCCAGTGGGAGTGATGGCCTCGGGTCCCAGAGCAAGCTCCTGGTGGAACCAGGAGGGAGCCAGGGTGCTTCCTGTGACCCCGGGACCCCCGGGCCACTTAGAGGAGAACGAGAGGGCAAAAGTGATGGGGAGAGGGGAAAGGACCAGGGGCAGTGATGGGGGAGGGGGCGGGGGACTCCAGGGTCTTCTTCCTCTGGGCTGTGCCTCTCCCTGACTCCGTGTGGCGGGCTGCCAGGCCACGTGGTCTGCTCTGCAGCCAAAAGCCTGACCCAGGGTTGGTGAGTCTGTATCTCCAGCAGATCTTGCCTCAGGGTTTACAAGGGAGGCCCCTCTGAAAAGATAGGCTGGAGCCCAGGGACACATCCACCTCTTACACCCTGTAAAGAGAGAGAAATGGTGGTGGTGGTCGGGAGACCTGGAGGGAGCTTTCAGGGCTGAAAGGGGCGTGGAGCATGCGCTCCAACCCCCAGCCACTCCCACAGCTGGGCAGACCCAGGGCCCAGGCTCCCTTCACCCCCGAGGGTGAATCCACGGAACTTCTTTGAGGCCTGGGCCCTCTCCAGGACGCTGGGTCCACCCTGTTGGGGGTGGGTTGGATGGGACGGCACCGCCCTAGGGGGAGAAGGAGGGGGGAGCCTGTCCTGGGAGGTGGTGGGATTTCTGGGAATAAGAGAGTCCTCCCACCCAGCATCTCCCCACCCACATTTCAGTGTCCAGCCTCCCCTCCCCAGTGAGAGGGGACAGGAACCTGCTGGACACTGGGGTGTCCCAGGTAACTCCTGCACCTGCCCAGAGCCGCTACCAGCATCTTGAACCACAGAGCAGCCTGGACTGACTGACCCTGGCTGTTCAGATGGAGATGGATGTGCTCCTCGGAGAGGAAGGCTTGGCTGGTGTCCTCTCCTGCAGGCCGGGCTCCTAGGAACACAAGGGCACTGGACACCTGGACAGGGTTCATGCAGATGGGGAGCCCAGCGATGTCTACTCCCGACCAGGCACAGAGCAAGTTCCCTGGATGCAAGAGGCATCAGGGGTTGGGACAGCGTGAAGCACCCACCAGCGTTCTCACCATCGGATCAAGCTCATGGTCCAGCTTTTCAGACCCGCACACTCTGTGATCCTGGGGTCCCCTGCCCCCCATGACTGGCCTCTGCCTGTCCATGCCATCTCCCACTCCCTCCTCACCATATATCTAGCTGTGCTTTTCCGAGTAGGTGAGGGTCCCTACTGGGAAGGACCCCCTTGCACTGGCCACTCCCTCAGGACCCTCGTGGGAAAGTACTTGAATCTGGAGTCGGACAGGCTGGGTGGTGGTAAGAATGGAACCCTGAGTTTAGGGAGGGAAAACAGGGCCCCTGAAAGAAAACAAACCCAAAAATCGCAGGAGATGGATTCTGCCACAGGGCCTGAGTGTGGAAGAGACTAGAGTGGCTGTCACAGTGGAGTGTGAGGTGACGGTTGTCCCAGTTCCCGGGTCCCTCCCACCCCCATCCCCTTCTCCTCCACAGAGACAGAAATGGGAAAAGGGCTCCCATCAAGGGCTCCCCCCGTTCACCCAGGACGACGCCCACCAAGAGCTGGGTGGCAAAGGCATAGGGGCCCCCGTGAGTCTGCTGTGGGACCCTGTAAGCAGAGAAATTACACCCCTGGGCGACCGTCCACCCTGCCTGGGAAAGGGGGAGGGCTGCCCTTCTGCCATTTGTAGATGGGGTCCACAAAGGGTGCTGTCTACCCCCAGTGCCCCTCACTCCAACCCAGAGAACAGAGCTGGGAACGGAGGGCTGCCAGGTGCGGCGGCTCCGTCCATCCAGCCCCTCTCTCCACAGGAGGGTTCAGAGCAAGAATTTGAAGAAACCACCGCAAAACTAACAGCAAACCCGCTCAAGTCTCTAAGCCCGGAACAAATCGACATTTAAACATATTGTCACTGTGTCTGATCGGGAAGAGCGTTTGTTTAAAACCGTGCTCTTGTTTTTCGTTTCTCTGCCAGTTTGTTCAGGGACAGGGAGCTTCCTGTGTGAGCTCAGCCACACTGTCCCCATGTGTGGGAGGCCCTGCCCAAGGCCAGAACTCCGTCCCTGCTCGCCTGGTCTTTCCTGACCTCCAGCCCCTCAAACCTCCACACCGGGTCTGGGAAAGGAGGGTCAGCAGGTCCAGCTGGCCCCGGGCCTCTAAGACCTCACACCCCTTACCCCTTGTTGACGATGATGATGATACAATCGAGCATTTATTTTATGCACTGACTTTATGCCAAGCTCTGTATTGGTGGAATCTATGTCATTTTACTGATTATGTACAATAACACCAAGATCGTGATACACTGATTATCACCACTACAAATGAGCAGAGCTAGACACAGACAGGTTAAGCAGCTTGCGCAAGGTCACATAGCAGTCAGGATTCAACCCAGGTCTGGCTGATCCCTTTGTTCCCAGCCTCTCTACTGCACTGCACCACGCATTTGCATGTATAGGTGTATTTTCCGTTGTTAAAATAATAGTAACCCCACCCAGTAGCAATTGCACACTCAAAGCATTGTCCCCTGCATCACCTCATACAGACTCCCTGTGGCCTGTGAGGAAGGGATCCAGGCATCCTTACCCTGGAAGGAGGCGCATGGGGAGAGGCAGGATCTGCCTTCTCCACTCACTACGGTGTGAACTGGGAGTGAAGTGTATTAGTCAGCTTGGGCCACTGTGACAAATACCACGACTGGGGGCTTAGACAACAAAAATTTATTCTCTCACAGTTCTCGAGGCCAGAAGTCCAAGATCAAGGTGTCGGCAGGATTGGTTTCTCCTGAGGCCTCTCTCCTTGGCTGCAGATGGCTGCTTTCTCCCTGTGTCCTCACATGGTCATCCCTCTGAGTGTGTCTGTGTGCTAATCTCTTCTTATAAGGACACCAGTCGTGTTGGGTTAGAGTCCACCCTAACTCCCTCATTTTAACTTAATTACACCTTTAAAGACCCTGTCTCCAAATACAGTCACATACTGAGGTTCTAAGAGTTGGGACTTCGAAGTGTGAATTGAGGTAGGGGGGCACATTTCAGCCCATAACACAAACAGCCTCAGGCCTCAGTTTCCTGCTCTGTGAAATGAGTGCAAGCATATCTGTTGTTCCAACTGTATACAGTTGTAAAAGCCAAACCAGCGACCCATGAGAAGGCACTGTGTGAAGACGGGTTATTAGTAGAAAGCAACGAGCTCAAAGTCACCCAGGGCCCTGGCGGAGCAGGAGTGGCTGCATCGCTCAGGAGGTTAAGCATGAGCTCTGGGTTAGCATTCTGACGTGGCTCCGCCCCCGATCCTCTCTCTAGTACTCACTAGGAAGTGACCTCGGACAAGTCACTGCTCTGTGCCTCAGTTTCCCCAGCTGTACAGTGGGGATAACAACAACACCCCCTCCTCAGGATTACACAAGAACACTGATGAAGGAAGCCCTCCCGCGGGCCAGGAGCTCGGTCCAGCTCCCCAGTAGCAGGAGGAGGAGCCAGGCCTCACAGCCCTTCCAAGCGTTCCAGAGGTTTCTCTTGAACTTGTCCTCGCTCCTGGCTGAGGAAGAACGGCACCTCATTAACTGGTGATTTAATGCGTCACCCATAGGCTTGTGCTCCTGGGTGACCTCCCCCTCACCCCAGCCCCTGCTCCCCAATCTGTCAGCAAATCTGCTTTCCGTCTGAAAGAAGAAAAACAAGATTCCCACCAGAGTGCCTGTGGGCAGGCTTGTGATTTGTCTGAAGTCGGGCCAGGGGGTCGGCGGACCGTGGGCCAGCGCCTCCTGAGGAGAGTCACACATGCCTCACAGATTTCCGCTCCACCCGCTCGCTCTGTGGTTTGGAGAGAGGACTTACCCAGAGCCGTCCCTCCGTCCTCAGCCCTGCGTCCCCTGCCCGCCAGCCTGCTGCCCACCAGGAACCCGCAGCGCACTGTTGATCAGGCCCAGTCTGACCACAGGGCAAACATTCCCTTTGAAATCTCTGCTGCGTGTCTGTGTGTGTGTGTGTGTGTGTGTGTGTGTGTGTGTGTGTCCACCAGCAGAGGGCGGGCCCACTCCCCTCCTGGGGGAGGCCCACTGCCCCTTCTTCCTCCAGGTGAGCCCAGCTGTCAACCTGACCCCTGGGGGCTCCCCACATTCTCTGCTGAGGGCTTCCTGTCTCTGCCTTCACCCCACCAGGAGGAATCCCTGCAGGGCCTTACATATCTTTGTTCCCCTCAAGAAACCACAACAGGGCCGGCCCTGTGGCTTGGTGGTTAAGTGCGAGCGCTGCGATGCTGGTGGCCCGGGTTCGGATCCCGGGTGCGCATCGAGGCACCACTTCTCCGTTCATCCTGAGGCCGAGTCCCACATACAGCAACTAGAAGGATGTGCAGCTACGACATACAACTATCCACTGGGGCTTTGGGGGGAAAAAAAAAAAAAAAAAAATCTTTAAAAAAAAAAAAAAAAAAAGAAACCACAACAGATTTTCAATAAAAACCTATTGAATGAAAGCGTTTAAAAAATTTAGCTCCAGAGTTTCAGTTTGGGAAAATGGAAAAGTCTAGAGATAATGGTGGTGGTGGTTGCACAACAATGTGAATGTACTCAATGCCACTGCACAGTACACTGAGAAGTGGTTCAGAGGGTAAATCTTATTTCTGTATATTTTCCCACAATAAAAACAAAAGTTTAGCTCCTTGTTGCTGGGGTGCTGAGTGCTATTGGGAGGTCATTTGGGTATGGAAGACCCTGCTGGATCCCGGAGTCCCCTGTGGGTCTTACCTGGC